AATCATATTTTGTATCCTGGGTAACATATGAAGTGGAGAGAAGGTTGAGAGTGGTAATCCCATCCTGTCCAGATAGATAGCATCTACTGCCAAGACCCAAAGATGAGGTACTGGAGACCAAATTGCCAGTAGTTGGGTGATCCAATGAGAGGCCAACTTACCAATTAGAGTTCCAAAATGTGAAGCAATCCACTAAACATTGGAATGCAACATCTATTCTGTCGAGAAAGTCACTTTGGATTGAGACAATGGACCTGCTTCCACAGGCATAACCCGTGGAACATGGTAAGCTAGAAGGGTGATATGATAAAACTAGTCCTGAGAATGGAGGTCCAAAATTTGAAAATAAGGAGACCTAGACCACATGCCTCCTTGATGAGAAACATTAGATACCACCTCGGTATAGCCAGAGTGAAGCCTGTTGATTTACCCCTTAAAAAGCCCAGACCATGAGACCTTGGCTGTTGAAGATCAAAAAGGACCAAAACACTGTATAAAGAATCCTCATCGTCTGTGCAGAGACTCTGGAATTTGTGACTGTTGGTATATGTACCCCATCCCTGAAGCAAGGCATTTGAGAAGAGAATGGAACTCCGAACGAGGTGGCAGTAGAGGAACCCAAATTGTAGTAGCATCCCAATTTAACCCCTCCAGATAGTAGAATAATCCTGACTAAGGAAATTGGGGAAACCAGGAAATAGATGTGTACAATCACTGGTCACTTAAGGACCAAGAAAAGGATCACTTGTGTTCTCGTCCCAAAGGCATGAATGACTCAAGTGATGCCTACATTCCCAGAAGAAAAAAAAACATCTGTGCAGTAAAAGAAGGAGAGGTGAGTAAATATAGCATCCTATTCTATAGCACTGAGCAGGATTGGTAGAGACAGTTGAGCCCGACTGAGAGATGAGATGAAAAATACCCAGACTGATGACATATTGAGTTGGAGCAAGAAAAGATAATGCAGTCACGACAGAGAAGCCTACCTAGGTTGTATCTGAAAGTAGAATCAGGATGTGATGATCTAACAATTGACAAGATGTTGCCAGCAGTAACCAGTCATCCATGGAATAGTGTGTGCACAGTACGATGGAATGAATTGGAAGAGAAAACTCATACAAGACAGCAGAACCCACATTAAGCCCATACGAGACCAAAGGAAAAATCCTGAAACTGCCATACCTGACCCTTGTGCACCATAAATGCCAATAGTGGTTGGACTCTACTGCTAAGGCAAAGTGCAGATAGGAACCGAATACAACCAAGATAGACATCTGCAATCCCAGTAAAAAAGTCAACACAGATTGAGGAATGATTAACTTGTGAACCTTGGAGAATCTAGGCATTGATATAGACAAGGAAGAAGTATGACTGGACACCAATATCCTGTCTTCAGAGGCCCAACAACTAGCAAGAATAAAAACTGAAGAACTAGCCCGACTATCTCACTATCCCCCAGACCAACCACTCAGATAACTCTAGAGCAAAGTTCCAAATCCCGATAAACTATGGGATACAGAAACCCTACAGGTTGTGTGGGTAATAGTGAAGAAGATGTGAACTGGAAAACCGATTGTGACCCAAAGAACTGCAAAGCTTCTGGACCGATGGTTAAGATTACCACACATCCAGACATTCTTGAAACCAAGCCCCCATAGGTCCTGAAGTTATACAACAATCACTGATGCTGCTGGCAATATGACTCTATTCTGAGTATCAATGTACTGAGGAGCTGATGTCGGATATAGGTACTCACGTATAGGGGTTGAACCATGACCCCCTGTAGGAGTCGATGAAACTAGAGACTCCAATAACAACCAGGAGAAAAGTAGAAGCCGAAAATTGAACCAACGTGAATGCTAACAATGGATCCAGCTCATCCTCAATGAAACTGGTGATCCTGAGAGTCTTTTAACAAAATGAAGTGAAAGGAAACAAAATGTTGAAGTTGAATTGTAAGTCTGTAGACTTACTCTGTTCCATCAGGGGACACAGATCTATACAGGTGAACTACAAACTCCACCTTAGAGTTTCAAAATTCGAGGAGCAGATATTATTTGAGAATCAAAAGAATGCCTCCACCTGGTGGTGGTAGGCAAAATCAAGAAGTTCCGACAATGTGTCAAATAAGACTTAACTGTTCCTTCATGTAACTAAGATGTAAATCTTCCAGCATGAACCACAATTTCCATGAATGGAAAGAAAAAAAAATTTGCTCCCAGACCTTTCAGCCATCAATTAAGATGCAGGCTCAAAAGCAACAGGGAAAAAGCCCAAAACATCACACACTCGAAGAATCAACAGAAGAAAAACAAATCAAAGGCAGCTTATTCCAAAGTGGCCTTATTTTTGTTTTTCCTAGTCATTTAAAGAACATGGTAAAGTAAGTTGTTTTGTTATAGCAAAGCAACTGTGGGCCAAATGCCGCATCCACCATAGGGAATTGAAACCCAGACCCCTGCGCACCCGAGTCCGTAACCTTATCACTGACCCTCAGGGGGTCTAAAAATCCATCAGACTAAAAGAAGGCACAGGAAAAAGCAAATCTAAAGTGTCTTAAGAGTGTCGTAGCTTGCCCTCAAATGCAGCCTTAGAGCCCCCCAAAGGACCACCACAGATCCAAATATGTCTCCATCTCACTACGAATAAGATCATTGACAGTCTCAACCAAGAGTGGACCCCCCCCTCCCAATTGTTATGCGACACTAGATATCAGAGGAGAGGAGAGACCCAATTGCCAATCAGAAAAAAGGAAGAAAAATTTGCTTTTCAAATTAATATTATTGTTACAAAATCAACTAGATAACACAATAACATTCATAATACTAGGAAACCTGCTGGTGATGCTTTGTGGAGGAAAAGTGATAAAATTGTCTGAATGAGGTGCTTATATACAGTTCCAGGATAAAGGGTGCATTGATGTAGGTGGAGAATATCACAAGATAATTATTGCCAAGGGCAACTGAGTGAATTATAAAAGACTGGAGAAAGTGAGAAAAAAAAATCAGACTAATGCTTAGATGGGCAAAGTCAAGTAATAGCTATAAATGGCAGCGGATGTAAGTATGTTTTGGAAACTTACCTTGCCATCAACTACCTACTCTCTTGCTACCTATCCTATCTCCACTATGAGGGAATGCAAACATCACATTCACAACTCGACAGATTTCATAGAACAACTCAGAAAGCTACATATCAGATCTCAGGATATTCTGGTCAGTTTTGACGTCACAGACCTATTTACCAATGTTCCAATCTCAGAAACCCTTCATATCACCATAAAATGACTGCTGAATGATAAATCTCTACCACACAGAACTGACATGAAGATAGACACCATCATGGAACTAACAACTATTTGCCTACAATCAACTTACTTCCAATACAATGAGGAATTCTACAAACAAATGGTCTAGCTATGGGATCACCACTCTCTTCAATCCTAGCAGACATTTTCATGGAAGACTTTGAAGAAAGAGCCCTCTCATCCACACATATAAAACCAAGTTTCTCCTGACATCATGTTGACAACACCTTCATTAGATGGCCCCACGTTCACGAAAACGTACCAGTCTTTCTAGAACATCTTTGTTCTATAGACAAAAGAATCAACTTCACCATGTAAGTAGAGGAACAAACCAGCCTACCATTTCTTAACATAATCATCAGTAAACAAGAGAGAAAACTCATCATAACTGTTTGTTAACCTTACATAAGTAACAAGACTGCTAGAGAGGCTGATGAAAACTTAAAAGAGAAAAGGTGATAGAAATCATGATAATGACATAAATCAACATGTGATGGGCTGAAATCTGAATCACGGGCTAACCTTGGACCAGCCTTCTTACGACCTCCAGCTAATGAACTCATAGTACACAAAGAGTTCTTTATGTAAGGAACGTGACCATGAGTTTTTTGGAAAAGTTGTATCCACATGCTGTATTCCAATATTCCAAAAAGTTTGGTAACATTAGGATCTTATTGAATAAAAGCTAGGGTAGTTAGAATAGTCAGTCAATGTCAGTGTTTGCTGTACTAAGCATAGTCAATCGTTGTCAGGAAAACAGCACTCTGCAGAATGGAACAAGTTTGAGCTCCAGCTCCTGTGTAAGTAATGTTTTAATCATATTAGCTAAAAGCTAATTTTTAAAGTAATATTACACTGGAAGTGTATTTTAATATAGCTATGTTAATAAAGCCAAACTATAAGGTGGTAGTTATGTATTATTGACATTTGACACTAAGATATTCGTATTAGTTGTTAATTAAACCCATAAACTTGCATATGTAAATCTGTAAAGTGCAATTAGTAATGTGAATATTGAATATATTGAGCACTGAATAAAGATTATATGTTTTGTTACCCAAAAATGCACGGAGTCCATTCATTGGACAGACCCCATATCGGAAAAAGAATATAGACTATAATTCCAAATTTACTGTATGTATCTACACGAAACATGACAAGCTTTTAGTCAAATGTAGAAGTCTGTTGTACACAAAAAATTTGATGTGTTACAAGATATGTCTATGAATTGATGATGCTAGTTATACTCAGACTATGACAAGTCGAAATGCAAGGTGATGTTCCTGTGAAGAATAAAAATGCTTTTGTTCACTGTACAGTTTATATATTGCATTTGCATAACCTCTAGGACCATAAAAAGGCATCTCTATATTTTTTTTCAGTATCCTTATACATTTATTTAAATTATCTTGAGTTGGTGATCTGTGAGCCCACACATCACTCGACTGCATTTCATAGTATTTAAATAAATACTACATGTAACAAGTGTTGTCTCCCCAACTTGCCCATTACACTACAGTGTATAGAAAGTAGTAAAAATAGTGATTTATATATGCAGCTTTGACAATTTAACAGATTATGAAAATAATTAAAACAAAGTTCAAAGTTTATTTGTTCCCTGTTCTAAGAGAACCTTAAAGAATATTTACGTAATCGGTGTAAAAAAAACTTTGAAAATGAGACAAGAGCTTACCTTGTGAGTGTATCCATGGGTGATGCTTAGATGATGGTCATCTGACCCTGAAAGTAAGTAGTAGCCAGTGTCATTCCAGCAAATTGTGTTTACCTGCATAACACAATACAATATGCATTAACAATTATTAATAAATATTTCTACTATTTGCCTGAAAACAAATTTGCAAAATATACATGTACCACTGAGAATTAGTTTTTCAAAATAAGTAATATAAAAAAGAATAAAATTAATATACAAGCAACACAAAACTCTTATAGATCACCAAACTAATCCAGTTAACCCTTCTGAGGCATTGTTTACCATAGGGCCTAAAGCATGATATCTGATTGCTTGTGTGCATTCTGCCATAGAATCTAGAGCATATACAAACATTCTTTCCCTATATTCTTGTAATATATATTTTCCTTGGCTATGCATACATCTTCAAGTTTCTAGAGATTACACTGTATGTTGTGTATATAACAAAGTTATTTAACTAGTAAATATTTTAAGCAGGATAACATGCTTTCATAGAAGTTTCGGAATAAATCCTGGGGTTTCTCCAACATTCACTGCTTCACTTCTATGACTGTATATTTCTATTCAGCCACAATAAATGTGAAAAAAACAACAGGGTATACTATGCTTTCACTTACACAAGAGGTTCCTTCCCTGTAATCCCGTAAAAATCAAAGTACTGAATGTCAGAGGAGCCCCAAGATTTATCACAAGTTTTTAATATACTCTGTACCTGTAAAGTGTGCACTATCTACATATATCAACATGAATAAATTACCTAAATGAAAGAAGTAGACCTAAAAATTTCATGCAATCAACTTTTGAGAGCTACTAAAAAATGAATGAATGAATATTCTGTCACAAAACAAAAAATCATAGTCATAAATGCCATGTGTTGGTCAGTCTGTCACACTTGGTTTCTCTGATTGTGTGAGTCCAATTCCACTTTTTCTCCCATAATACTTTCCGTTTTGATTGCCCATTCCCATTTTAGTTGAATTCAATTGCTAACATAGACGTAAATAGCTCTAAATTGTGGCACTTTTTCTGCTATATAAAAGCCTGTCAAGGAGGGAGTTCCCAGGACCAGATCGGGCATGGCATTATGTGTGACACCACATCATTATGACATCAAGCTAGGTAGGATCTGACTAGGAAAGCCGAGAAGCTTCCTGTGATTCAAGACATGAAAGTGCATTCACACCCTATCAATGTCTGTGAAAAATAAGTAAAAAATTAACGCAAATCTATGCTTGGGAATTATTACAAAAAATATTTTGTTAAAACAGACTGAATATACCAATTATCTGTAGGGAAGAGGATGACTTTGCCACAAAAGAAGAACAGGTATGTACGCAGTCACATGGTCATCGTGTGCTTTTAATCTTTCATCCAAAGGCACCAATATGTAACATATTTGCTCAGTTATATGTAGTGGATTCAGGAGCAATACCTAGCATGTTCCTGGGAAATGAAATTTTATATTTCTTTTATTTATTTCTTTTGTGTATTGCCAGTTTCATATAGAATAGTTTTGTTTCCAGTGGTTTCCCATCATTTTTGACTGGCTTTTAATCTATTTCTTTAATAAAATCACTAATAACCTGTTTTCATGATGTTAGAAAAACACGTAGGTTCAAGAAGTCTTGAATGACTAAAAACCCTATAACCCAAGCTCTTTCGAACGGTGGACTTTTCTTCTTTAGGGGCAAACTTTCAAAACCACAAGATTATGGCAAAAGTACCTTGAAACACTGTTAGTTACATTAACTTCTTCTCTGTGTTCTTTCTTGTAATTTCATGCCATCAACTTTCAAATACATATATAAAATTATACTAATGAAACATTTATAATAATACACACTTCATTTTGATAAACATATCAACTGTATGTTGAACAAAACTGACAATTATAAGTATAAAAACTAAAACTGTATTAGTTGTAGTAACATCTTCACTAAAACAAGACCACAATTTCCAGATGAATAACATGGACTAAGTGTCAAGTATCTGTATTGATGTCTTAAATACTTGAACCATACCGTACTGACCAAAAAACAACAACTTAAGACACATTTCAAATATCTGATACATTAATACTAGATACTCAGAATCTGAAATGTAAAATACTAAAACATTTATTCCTACAAAATTTGTGGTTACATTTTAAAGATGATTTATTTAATTCAGAAATTCAGAAATTGAATGATAAGATGTTAAAAAAGTTAGTCATATAAAATTTTTGGTTATATTTTAATGGTGATTTCAACCTTCCAATCTGCACCATCTTAACTGAAATGAAGAATAAAATCAATAAAATAGTAATGCAAATTAAAGAGAATCAATCTAAATAATACAATAACAATTAAAAACTTAAATATAATTATATTAAAAAGAATTAAAGAAAAACTGATAAAACAATTGAATCATATTCAGAAATGTATTTCTCCTGTGTAAAACATTCTTATTATGCATGTTTGAATTGAAGAATTTATAGACAAACTGCAAGAAAAACTTCAGTTGATCAAAAATAGATTGTCCATTAAAAACTTTTCATCAACTGTACTTTAGCTGTTAATTATGCCTTGGAAACATTTGCAGTTGAATTTGACTGCAAAACTAATATTTTCATGTCTTCAATCAAAACCACAAAACATGTACATTCACTGGCCATAATATTAGATAGCCCAACCTAGTAGTACTGGGACACCATGTAACTGGATTACAGCCTGAATACGATGTGGAATTGATTCCACTAGTGTCTAGAAGGCAACTGCTTCAATCTTTTGCCATTCCTTTATCAATATCGCCTCCAATACAGGTAGAGTTAATAGTAATGGACTATGTCTTCTGATAACCCATTGTAAAGCATCCCATGGACAGTTGATGGCATTAGAATTATGGGACAGTGCTGGACAAGGTAGATGTTGGAAGTCTTTATCATGCTCAGTAAACCAATCACAAATGATTTTACTCCTATGACTGGTAGCATTGCAGTCCTGGAAGTAATTATCTCTGTTTGAGTAAAAGTTAAGCATTGCAGTTGCATTTGTTCATGACCATTCACAGGAACCAATGGATCTAGCCTATGCCACATAAATGAGTCCACAAGAGTAAACTGCCTCCAAACCCTTGTACAGCAAAAACTACACAGGATGGGTTCATGACTTCCTTGGGCTGGCACTACACTCTAACCCTATCATAATTATAGAACAATTTACATTACACATTTAAATCGTGTAATGCTTCAACTCCAATGATCTAGGCACCACTGGAAATATTTATTTCAATTGTTGGTAGAGTTAAGTAGCTTAAAGGCTTACAAAGATTAATTTCACATAACTCCCTATGCATTATTCTGGGAGAAATGGATGTTGCTAGACCATAATAAAAGTTATTTTACACACACTGTCAAAAACTGTTAACCCAAACATTCCTTGATCCATGTTTGATAGTTTCCCTTTTAAGACAAAGTTTTTGATTTGATAACCATACAAAGTAGACTCTAGACACAGTGGCCATTGATTTGCCAGTCAGATCACCAAACACATAATTGAGGCACTAACCAATCATGCTTCAACAATAACTCCTCATCCATAGCATGATAAACTTAACATTTTCTCACCTGAAAAATGTATTTCAGTTAGATATTCACCTCTCCACAGAACTGATAGCTATTACTTTGCACCACTGCCAAACCTTAAACTGAAGCTCCTGCCCCACATATAATCATGTGTATTGCACTAGTCTATGACAGAATAAGCATTAGACTATTGCCTTCCTCCAACAGTACTTTGTGTATACCAAATCCTTATTCTTTACAAGGCAAAAGAAACACACCAAAAGTGAAGAGGAAGGGTGGGAGGTTCTAGCTATCTAGAATAGATTTTTAGATAAGAAAAATGTTAATTTTACAAATGCTAATTACCACTCCACAGAACTGATAGCTAGAATCTCACAATGATAAGTGGGGTGATCAAGAAATTAAAAAATAAGCTACTTTCTGATAATAAAGTGTCAGAAAAAAACTCGTGAAGCATGTCATCCACTATGGAGAAACCTAGTGGGGCATTATTCAGTGGGAGACTACAACAATCTCATCTTTGCCCAATAGAGGTGGTAGAGCAAAAGGTACAACCAAAAGAACCTCCTTCATTGTGTTAAATCATCATATAATTGGGTGGAATTTAAAGACTGCTCAACCTGCCTGTATATCTCAGGGTGTCAGTAAAGCATGTATGTGTGGTGTGACAAAGGCAATAAATTGAGTCTTACAGTATTGGAGAAATACTTATGTGATTAACTTATTGGAATAAGTCATGCAGAGAGGAATCAACACAGATGTGAATACCAAGGAAAATGCAAGACCCATCTAGCTGGAATAACCACCGAGAATGGTCTGGTTCTTGGTGTAGAGAGTGGTCTGTACTATATTTCCAGGTAAACACCCCAGCCCTACTTCCAATTCAGGTGTGCACCTATTCGGTCTCATATCTGGAATTACACCAATCCGAAGGGGAACTCTCCATATTGACCTCTGCAGCAGCATGGGACTAGAGTAGCAAGGGTTCTCCCTTTATTCCACTAAATGAAAATGGTAAGGAGAAATATGTATAGGGAGAATACCAGAGAGGTACTCAGATTGAACAAGAATCAACACATCTGCATAAGGTCCAACACTGACAGACTATTTAATGTGTTACTACAAATATGTACAGCAGGCACTAGCCAAGGTTGAGGGCAGGATCACACCTGGTGTTGTCATTCCAATTCTGTTTGTATTAACACTATCTGTTATCCCATACTTGACAGGAATTTTGGGAGAGATGTATTCCTTGTGAGGCAATGTCAGCCATGTGGTGGGTTTCACCATCTCCAGAATATAAATATAGAGAAATAATAATGTGGTTGTGTGGCTACAGAAAAAAAGAAATAACAAATGACTTACCTCCTTAGAGCCTCTGTGGAGATTGAAGAAAAGTGACTGGAAGGAGAGAAAAACCAGAGACAGCTGAAAGTACAATGTGGTATAGGTAATGTGATACAAAATTTTGTGAGGTCTTCCACATCACAGCCTATAAGATCTCATCCAGGGGATATTTAAGACTAGAGGCAAAAGAATTTGTGAGGTGACATGAAAAAGATGAAAAATGTCATCATCAATAGAAGAAAGCACTAGCCAAATGAGTTTTTCAAACCAACTGGTCAAAATGAAAGGAGATAAGTTATTAAAGAAAAAGAAATCTTAGAGCAAGAAAATACATCGTTTACTGCCTCAAAAAGTCTTGGGAAGGAAAGAGCAGTCTGGGAACATAACCTGTTTCTGTGGAAAATGTATAAGAGATGAGTCAAAAACAAAAATGGCAGAGCAATAATTCCCAGTAATAAAAAGAAAAACAAAATTACATTAGAAAAAGATAGTACAGGGAACAGGTGGTCAAATGGAGAATATGTGTGGGAGCCTTGAAAATTAAACAGAGGTTTCAGTATGGAAGAGAAACCAGACAAGGAGGATTATTGATGAAAAGAGGCCCAGATGAATCAGAAAAAGAAAATGAGAATGGCCAGGGAAGAAAAAAATTGTTACTCACAAACATAAAAAGAGGAATTGCACCAAATCCTGACTCATAGCATCTACAGCCAGAGCTGCAGTGGTCTAGACTGATCATCAGGAAAGTGGAAATTTGATGGAAAGGAGAGTCAGAATGGCACTGAAAAAAGTACTCCCAAAGAGAGAACAAATCCACTAAAATGTTACACTCTTTTATAATCTTTAAGAATAAAAATTAATACTAAAGAAGTAAAAAATTAACACCCAAACTACTAAAGACGCTAACATATTTTCAAATCATTATCCTGAAACCAATGAAATACCTTAGCACCAGAAACCATACCTTTAAATATATCTTGGGGCCTCACCCTCTTTCTCATTTTAAATCCCCTTCTAAATAAAAACCACTTAAATTTAAATTAAATATGAGAGGATTAGAAGATAATCAAGGTAGAAATCACATCATTCCTAAAAATGATAAAAATACACCAGAAGATGTAGATACAACTTCATGGGAAAAACATGATCTAGGTAAGACAGCTCATCCACCAACAAGATCAAAGCTCTCAGGATATGTCAAGGCAACAATGAAATGTGGTGTTTGTTGGCCCAAAGAAAAAAGTCCAAAGTTAATGTAAGAAATGACAGTGGTGGTATTTGAAAGGATTATAACACAATATCCAGAGAGACAAGATAGAAGATGATGGTAAGCAACATCTCAAGAACAATGATATAGAGAGACCACTCCACTGAAGACCAGGTTCTGGAAATGGTGCCAGTGTGCAGAACCAAGCCCTACCTGGATAGTGGCATATATGTATGAGTGGATATCTGGGTAAGGTAGGGGAAGAACTGACATGGCATTGAGAGGTGAAGAAATGGAAGGAGAAACACCAAAGGAGACAGTGGGTCTCTGGATATAACCCAGTGATCAGCCAGATTCCACTGAAAAGGATGCACATGAGCCTGCATGAAAGGAACATGGGACTTCAGAGAGGTCAAGAGGGTGCAGTTGAGAATGATTATTTGGATGGGAAAAAAAGGAACCAGTCCAACATACAGAGCCATAGCCAACCTGAAGAAAAGGGCCTAGAATTGAAAATTCCTCCTATTGTGGACAAACCAGAGGAAACTACGTAAGCTCAGATAATTGGAATGTGAAAAAATGCATCCAAAACATCAAACTTAGTCATATACAGCCTGAGAAAGGACACCCATGTTAGAGTGTAAAAAACTTTTTAGGGAACCAAGAAATGATAAGAAACTGGTCCAAGAATGACAAATAAATGATAGGTTGCAAACATTCTATCTTCTTGGAAATAACAAAATGATAAGAGTAAAATCCCAGACTGGGGTAAAGGATCTGTTCCTTGGCATTCATAACCTGGAGAAAAGACAGCCTCTTCCAGGCATAAAAAATACAAGGAGCACAAAAGACAAAAAGGTTTTAAGAGGGGTAAAGAGAGGAGGTTCAATGTGGAAAGACAAAGAAAGTCTGTGAGAAAATACCTATGTGATCCAAACGTGATCTGGAAAGGAAGTCCACAGGTGCAAAATATGGGAGAGCTAAGCTCCCACTGAACTGGAGCTGAGAAGTGGCACCAGAAAAAAAGTCACCTCCATGATCCGTGATGACCAGCCCAACAAGAGGGAGGAGGATATTGGAAAGTAGCAAGAAGATAAGGACCAAGAGAAGGGGTGATCATACAAGACTCCTAAGGACAAAAAACCTGTTAGGACCCTAAACAAATCTCTGTACACTGGAAACCCAAGTGAACAGAGATAAGTGCTAATGAGCTGTCTCAACTCAAGTTTCTAATATATAAGGAACTTCCCCAAAACCCTTTACAAAGAAAGAGTGCCACAAAAAAGTCTCTGAAATAAGATTGACAAAGGCAGACTCCATGGTATGTAGGCCTTAGCCATCAACATAATGACAAAAATGATTAATTATCAAACCTGAACACTGGGTAAAGTACAATGGCAAATAGTTCTGTCAAAAAAACTATATTGCAAACTCTGAAACACATGTCCCACATCTCATAATTTTATTAAGAGAAGAAAACAAATTAAAGGAAGATAATAATTTGAATAATTTCTAACTTAAATGATTAAAATTTTATATTTCATTCAAGTAATCAAAAAAATAAAGGAAAGAAACATTAAAAAACAATTAATAAGTAAAAGTTTAAAAGAAGAAGTGCAAAAATTCATAATGAGATGAGAAAAGAATAAGTCTTTGTTAATAAACAGGGTAATCATGGGGTTTACTGTGCAAAGAGGATATATCATCATCCTATTAGTGGAGGGCTACAATCTAATGCTGATTGCATCACAGACTGTTGCAATACATGTTAGTACACGTGGGAACTGGAGTTTTGTCAAAAGCTGGGTGCATGTGCAAAAACTTTTTGGCAGTGGCAAACAATAATAGCTATCACTTATGCTTATGATGCTTACACAATTAACCATCTACATCTATAGACTCCTGGTACTGTTATTTCTCTAAATTGTAAATACCTATTTTGCATAAGCACAAAGTGAGGACCAGCATATTCAAAAAGTAAGGGTTTCTTATATTTTGCCCACTAAATGTACAAGAATATCTCTTGATCTATTGATTTGACTTAGTTTAAATACATGTTCCTCACATCTCCAATTTGATATTATTACAGATAAGTTATCATCATAAAAACATTCAGGGAGATATATTTTATAAGTGTTCATTTTCTACAAAAACACTTTCCATCTAACATTTCTTAATTTAATAATTTTGGATCTTAACCCTTTCCAGACAGGTCATGGGTGAAAAGCCATGTCATCACGTTTGTTGACTCACATTCATAATTTTATTGAACTACTATTTCATGAATTTATGTCAACAAGTTTGGT